CTTGGAGCTTGTTTCAGGCCGTACAAGCTCTTCTTCAATTTGCACACCATATCCTTCTTTCCATCTGAAAATCCTTCAGGCTGGTGCATATAGATCTCCTCATCTAGGTCTCCGTGAAGAAATGCAGTCTTCACGTCTAATTGCTCTAGGTAGAGCTCTTCACTAGCCACAATACTTAACACAGTTCTGATAGTATTGAGCTTTACAACTGGAGCAAAGATTTCAGTATAGTCAACTCCTTCTTTCTGCTGAAATCCTTTGACAACCAGTCGGGCTTTGTATCTCCTGGAACCATCATGGTCTTCCTTCACCTGATACACCCATTTGTTGTGAAGTGTTTTCTTTCCCATAGGTAACTTGACTAGTTCCCATGTCTGATTTGAGATCAAGGACTTCATCTCGTCCTTCATGGCAAGCTCCCACTTGCTAGCATCTGAGGTTTGACAAGCTTCCATGTAACTTTCAGGCTCCCCTCCATCAGTCAGCAACATGTAGTCCATGTATCTCCTGTTAGGCACATGGGGCCGAGAGGACCTTCTCAATACAGGAGCTGGAGTAGGAGGTTCTGATTGCACATCACTTTCTTCATTTGATTCCTCTAACTGAGGACTCCTCATTATAGGGTTGTCTGGGATATCTTCCAGCTCAGCATAAATTGGCCCACTCGCTTCTGAGTTGCTGGCACTTGTATTATGCCGGTCCTTGTACATCACTCTTTCATTAAAGATGACATCTCTGCTGCAGATCATCTTTTTGTTTTCATCATCCCATATGCGGTAGCCAAACTCATCTTCACCATAACCAAGAAAAGTACATTTCTTTGATTTTGGATCAAGTTTGTTTCTACCTTGATCACTGATGTGCACATATGCTACACACCCGAAAACTCTAAGATGTGAGAGTTTTACTTCTTTTCCGCTCCATACCTCTTCTGGTAACTTGTGATCCAGTGGTACCAATGGACTTCGGTTGATCAAGTAAGTTGTTGTGTTGACTGCTTCTGCCCAGAACTGCTTTGGTAGGCCTGACTGCACACGCAAGCTTCTGGCTCTTTCAGTCAACGTTCGATTCATACGCTCAGCTACACCATTGTGTTGAGGCGTACCAGGCACGTTTCTCTCCATTCTGATCCCGTGCTCATAGCAAAACTTCTTGAATCTGGTGGTTACATATTCACCACCATTGACGGATCTGAGCTTCTTGATCTTCAAACCAGTCTCATTTTCCACCATAGCTTTCCAAATCTTGAAAGCTTCAAATACTTCTGACTTGTGTTTCAGAAAGTAAACTCATACCTTTCTGGAGTGATCATCGATAAAAGTCACGAAGTATTGCTTCCCACCAATGGATGGGACAGTGGTTGGACCCCAAACATCAGAGTGGACGAGCTCAAGTTTCTCCTTCTTTGGAGTTCTTCTACTTGTTTGAAAGCTGACTCTCTTCTGCTTTCCAAGTATACAACCTTCACACATGTCAATTTCTATTGACTGGAGGCCTGGTAATTTTCCTTTTGAGTGAATGATCTTCATCCCTTTTTCACTCATATGCCCAAGTCTTTGGTGCCATAGATTGGGACTTTCATTTGCTGCAACTGCAATCAGATGGCATGCTTCTGTGGTTTTGTAAAGAGTACCACTCTTTTTGCCTCGAGCAATTGTCATCGCACCCTTTGAAATCTTCCAATCGTCTCCGTGGAAGATTGTCGTGTAGCCTTCACTGGCTAGCTGGCCCACCGAGATTAGATTCTTCGTTAGGTCGGGAATATGTCTAACATTTTTCAATTCCCATACAGACCCGCTCAGCTTGATTTTTATTGCACCTTTCCCTACAACCTCACATGATTGCTCATTACCAAGGTAAACTTTACCAAGGTTACCAGGAACATAATTTTCGAGTAGTTCCTTCTGTGAGGTAGCATGAAAGGATGCTCCAGAGTCTAACACCCAAGACTCATCCTTGTTCTCTAAAGAACATATCAGCGAATCTCCTCCAGAGGCTGAAGCAATATTTGCCTCTTCTTTTGCCTCCTGACCCTTCGGTGCACTCTTGCACTGGTTTCTGTAGTGTCCGGTCTTCCCACAATTCCAGCACTCGATCGACTTCGAGGTTTGGGAATTACGATGATTTCTGGACTTGGATCTTCTTCCTTTTGATTTATTGTGTCTGCTTTCTTTGGTTGAACTTCTTCCTCTTGACTCTGTTTGCAATACAGAAGAGGTCGATGGTTCACCCGACTCTCTCCGCCGGATCTCTTCACTGAGAACCAAATTTTGGACATCATCAAATCTCAACTTATTGCTTCCCGATGAGCTACTCACAGTCGTGACTGTAGCATTCCAACTTTCTGGTAGGGAAGACAAAAGTATTAAAGCCCGTACTTCATCATCGAACTCGATCTCAACTGAACTCAACTGGGTTGTGACGGTGTTGAGCTCATTGAGATGATGTGCCACCGAAGCACCTTCTGTCATCCGAAGGTTGAACAATCGCCTCATCAAATGAACTTTATTTGAGGCCGATGGTTTCTCGTACATGTTGGAAAGAGCCTTCATGAGGCCTGCTGTCGTCTTTTCTTTTGCAATGTTAAAAGCAACATTACGGGATAACGTCAGCCGGATGGCTCCAAGAGCTTGTCTGTCAAGGAGACTCCATTCTTCCTCCTTCATGTCCTCTGGCTTCTTTCCTGTGAGTGGTTGATACATATTCTTCTGGTACAGATAATCCTCGATCTGCATCTTCCAAAAGCCAAAGTCCGCACCATCGAACTTTTCAATTTTCATTTTTCCTTCGTCTGCAGCCATCACTTCGACTCTGATCTGACTTCTCTGCCGGATCGTTTCTGTAATTTTTGTGAACTACCGTGTTTCAAAACACGTCGGTAGGTAAATTGTAGCGCCGACAAAATTGGTACTATTCACGTTTTTCAACGGAATAGTAACACCACACAAAAAAATACAGAATTAACAATCTGGCTCTGATACCAGTTGTTGGGAAAAATACGCTGAATTTTCCATGAAGTCGAATCTATAAAAGTGAAATAAAAAATAAAAATTGGACACGCCAAATTGATAACGGAGTTCGGTCAATAATGCCTACGTCTCCGGACTACTGCAGATATTTTATTGGGAAGAAAAATACACTCGTGTTTACAAAACACTCTCGAAACTCACTCACAACTCACAACACAAATACACACAAAAACTAAATTCTTGCTTCTTATTCACTCTATTTCTCTCTCTTTCTTTCTTTGTGTTGGTGTTTTGTTGTGATATCCGTTCATCAAATTGCTCAGCTATTTATAGAAGAAAGATTGCTCCAATTTGTCAAAAATTGGCAGCCCACATTCTTCAAAGTGTGCTGCCCACTTTTTTTTTTTTTTTTTTTT